TCTGAGGAGCTCGGAGTGTGCTCGTTAAGCTCGTTAAAAAACAGCGAGGAGTTCGAGCTGCTTTTGTGAAGAGCAGTCGAATACAACATGTGCTGTTTGAGTAGCAAGAGCTGCTCAAAACAGAACAGTCGAATGATACACCTTATTGGTAACAACAGCAGCAAAGTAGTCTCATTAGTCTGGTTTTCAGAAATTATTTGTAATATATTATGGGTAAACGTCCATTTTACGAATAGTCGATATTACCAATGACCTTTGCATCATCGACCAAATAACCTCTTATGTGGAAGCAGGACATGCAGAAAGAAATTTTTGGTCACCATCCTATACGTAAGTGGTACGACATGTTATTGTGATCATGCTCATTCATTAATTTCGTAAAAAATCAGTTAATCAAGTACAAAAATACAAAAGCCCATTAGAGCCAATCATTATAATCCGTTCGTACGGATTACTAATTCATTGATTTTTATTCTCATTCTAGTATAGATGACAATGAGAAAAATGTGTTTACAAATACTTTAAATAAAAATGTTGTTCATATTAATACAATTTAAAACTTTACATTTACTTAGAATTCGTACAAATGTACTAATCCGCTTGTAGATTATAACTGGTACCATGCTTGTACGGATTACTAATTCGTGTTTTACGAATTACTAATTCATTTGTACGAATTATTAATTCGTTTTTACGGATTCTAATCTGCTTTTACGGATTATTAATTCGTTTGTACCGTTCACTAATTCTTTGCAAGCATTACTAATTCGTTTGTACGGATTACTTTACATGGTCAAACATTCAATTTTGTGATTTATCTTTATTCAATACATATATTTTTGAATTTTAGAATAGGGCCTATTTGGTTTATAACTATCATTTGTTTTTTTTTATATAGTATTAGCAATCCGTACAAACGGATTACTAATCCGTACAAACGAATTAGTATAATCCATACAAAGAGATTATCAACTCGTCAACAGTATTAGTAATCCGTGCTATCGGATTACGATATACACCTGATTGGCACTGATAGGTTTTCGTACAAACTAATTAAAAATTCTTAGTGAAAGTAACGGGAAGAAAACTGCGTGTCTCTTCCACAATGGTAGCACAATAAAAAATGCGTCTACAAAACATACTTTAATGTGATCGATTTTTTTGTTTTAGTTGGGAGAAAACGTGCTTATAATCAATTTTTTTTTATTAGAATATCTCGAATTATGAATACTACCTCAGTGATATCTTTCTGTCGCAAGTCATAGAACCAGACGCCGGGCCCCGATTGCAGTAGTTCTGGTCCCGTTTCACTATCATGATCAAACATGGAACACGATTGAGAATCCTCAGCGTAAGTGAAAGCAACACAACTGGCATTCTGTCGACACATCTGCATACATTCGTATCTGGATTTATTCTGATAACTAATCATTTCGTTCATCATTGTGGTGTTGGAACGTCCGTAGAAGTGAGAAGAGGATAGCTTATCGATAGGCTTGACCTCGCATTCTACTTGGCCATTACTGGTGGACATCATAAGTATCCCGACAATCGCCAGTACTTTAAGGCTTGAAGCCATTGCTATTAACATTACTATTTTAAATGTTGTGTACTAATTTACCAAGGCAAAGAAAGTAAGCAATCGATTAGAGCTATAAATAAAGCAAACCAAACTTAAACTAGGGCCTGTTTATGTATACTAATGCATAATTTGTTCGATACACAAGATCGATAACGTAACATTGACAGGTTCGTGATGTCTGCAGGCATGTGTTCAAACTAGCCTGAAATAAAAGTCTTCAATACCTTAAAGCGCACGGTAGCAACACTCTATGCAGGCTTGCAAAAGATCTGCAATGAAGAATAGTATTATAAGACATGCGATAGTGGGTGGTATACAAAACATTGAAAACATCTCAGACGACAGCACTTACATTACATCAGTGACCCAAGCTCATAATTATTATATAATGCAGTGTTTCTAATGATGATTGATAGTACTCTATTTAAAACCCTATTTTGAACATACTGTAATAGTAACAAGAAATATGTCCTATTGAATTCTGAAGCCATTGTTATTACTTATACAAGGCAAATTGAATGACATAGGCAACTGAAAGTGAGTCAACATAGTGCATTCATTGAAGCAAAAACAATCGATATGTTAGAGCTATAAATAAAGCAGACTAAACGTAAATTATTTATTTACATTCCATTTGTTCGATTTATTCGATACACAAATTCGATAACGTATTGACTGCTCGTGATCACTCAATCAGTAAATCAATAGTGCGCAGCAGAACGAATGCAGGTTTTGATAAAGAAATGAAGAATAGTATTATAGGACATGCGGTCCACAAAACAACAAAAACTAGACTGCAGCACTTCAAGACCCATTTATTAATTTGTTAATTAATTTATATGATGTGACCCAAATTCAGAATTAAATAAAGTATAGGTCTGATGGTGTAACAAGCAGTGGCCTATCTTTAGAAGTTTTGCTGACAAGGGGAGGTTGTTAGGGAGTGTTAAAAACGGTGATACTTGTGATTCTAAGCTTTCAACTTAATTCTTTTGCTCAGCAAATTTTAAATGGGGAGGGTAGGGACGTGGGTTTGGATCGTATTTTTTCAGCGGCGTGCACCTTCTCCACGCCATCCACCCGTGGTAAGCTGAATAAAATACTAATTTTAATAGGCCTATTTGTAGAGTTTAAAGGAATTTGGTAATCACGAATGGCAATAGGCCTATTTGTTGCTTGTTATTGTTATTGCATTCTGCTGTTGTAATTGTCATTATCATTATCAATATTTTTATTATCATTATCGTTATTATTACTGTTGTTATTTATTTTGATTATTATTGGATTTTCCTAGCAGTATAGCATCAGTAGAGTAGAGTGGATTGGAGTTGAATAGCTAGGTTTTTAAGTTGCTGGCCTTCCTATCCCCAGGGTCTTAGGCTCAATTCCTGTCAGTGTTGATGGATTATTTCTCACTACCAAAACAACTCCACTCCCTAAACCTCTTGAGATTTAGTTTGTGTAAAGCATTATGTGTGTATGTTTGTCTTGCGTAAAGCTTTGTCTACACGATCAAACTTTATGTGACAAAAAAAAATGTGATGTGCCCATATATGGTACGATGACGTCATATCACATAAATTGTATAAAAAAAAGTTGTGTTCAACAAGGACGCAGAACATAATGACGTCACTAAAAGTCATCTGCGCATGCGAGAACGTTAAGGTCACCCCGTCGAACAGATTGTGGAACGCAATTTGGCAAAATCTACGTATGCAGGGAACGTAGGACGCCAGGGGTAGGACGGTCACGCATGAGTGATTCCGTTCTAGCGTCGCGTCGTCGCACAAATCGAAAGCTCCCTGATAATTATATGAAGAGTGTCACACCATGTGTGTGGTACGAAACTAAGAAGTAATAAAATGTATAATCAGAGCTATTGTTGAACATCGCTTTTTTATA